CATCACTACACCTGCCTGATGTTTGGTCACCTGGTGGGCAGCGAGGCAATGGGCATTTACAAGTTTGCTCCTGGGTGTCACCAAAGTGGCCATGGTCTTGCTACCCGCCAGCCTTGTACGCTTGAAGCCTTCTACAACTGGTGGGTACTGCAGGAACTGGAAGGCATGTTGGAGAGGGTAACTAATATAAGTCTTGAGCATAGCTGTAAAGAGAGACAGCTCACAGAAATTTTGTTTTTGTTTTGGATCCCTCAGGACTCATGTAGGAATGACAAATTTCAAACAATCACAACAATTTGTACTACAGGAGAAATGGATGTCGGCTGTTTGGCAAATTGACTCAGATTGGCTAAAGTGTTAACATGGTGAACTAGAGATGTAAGATCTGAACATATTCCTTTTGTTTGTAGAGAGTAAGTACTTACTTATGAAAGTATGATGCTTCTAACAGCATAAATGTGCTGCAATACGAGGTCAACTGTTTATTTCACAATTATTGTTAGTGTAGTATTTGGACAATATTTAGTATTGTTTTGAGGGCTCAAGATTTGAATAGTAGTGGAAAATGGCTTTATTTTAAATTTTTGTGGAAAAATCTGGAGTGGTTTCTTTCAAAGAGTTCTTTGAAAACTCACTGTGGGCACTGGAAATTCTTTGCTAACAAAGCTTCATGACTGTTAATAACTGCTTGCTTTGCTGTAGACCATTTCTGGTGCTGTTTTGACCAGTGACTGATTTGGAGAGGTTCTTGTTTTTTATATTGTTTGGATGAAGAGAAATCTGGTAAGAATAAGATGTGTTGGAGGAAAGCCTGAAAAGAACAAGCTGTGTTGGAGGAAAGTTTGTTAAGATCAAGCTGTCCTGCTGTTCTCTTTTATTTGTGAAAATAAAACCCTTTATATCAGTTCATGATGAAACCTATTTCTTCTTTTGATAGAGTGATTGGCGATACATCTCAAAATTGTACTTCTTGAGCAAGTTTATCTGCAAGACTTCAGAGACAACCGTGCATAGTTAATAAGTTGACCACACCAGCCAGAGAATGGCGCATTGTCCAAAGTGATTATTTTTGTGAAAGCCAATATTTGCTGAAAAGTTCTATTTTTTCTTATCCTGAAGAGTGTGTGAATGTGCTTACGTATGTGTTTTGAGGATATTTAACAGGGTAAGTATTTATACTTCATTCTTACTGACAGTATATTACCAAATTATTGAATCTTTATGATAATGAACCAATAAATTTTTATTAAGAAACCTAATTGATACATCTTATTGTGTATATAACCTGGTACAGATATAGCATGTGATTGACCATCTTGGTATCTGGGCTAAGTACTTTTGTTTTATGTTGTGACCCACAGAGTAGAGGGACTAGGGTGATGGGGCTCTCTTCCAGCCTCATTTATAAAGCCATTAAACATTCAGGATTGTATAGCTAATGTTGCCAAAATCAGAGCCACATGTAGAAGTATCTTTTTTAAGGTCAGTTGTTATCAAAGATCTGTGGTACAATGACCCTTTACTAAATGGATTAGAAATTATGGACCCCTCTAATCTATATTTAATACTACAGAATACTCACACCATAAAAAGTAGCACAAGTAGAATGTTTTAGTACAAACAGAGACATTTCTGGAGAAACTCAGCATGTTGACCAGCATCTGCGGAGTATTTTGTGCCCAATACGACTCTTCTTCTGAACTGAAAGGGATTGGAAAATGGTGGTTTATATGCTTTTGACAGAAGTGAAGGAGGTGCAAGGAGAATAGATTGTAAGGAGGACAAGTATGAAAGTCAAAGGGGTTTCTAATTGGGTGAAAGAGAAATAGAGTTGTAAAATGGATGCAAATTAAGGTGTGGCAGAGGGAGAAAATGGACTGTCTCGGTTGAAAGCAAAGAAAACAACAGAAGGCCTGGTTTGGGCAGAATGGGGGTGGCGGTGTGCATGTCAGAAAATGTGTGAACAAGGGAAGAGAGCCATCATGCTGTCAGGCTCCTCTGTTGTAGAATTAAATATGGAGTCCTAGAGGCTGTAAAGTGCTTATGCAGAAATGAGGTGTTTCTGCAGCTTGTGCTGTGCTTCACCGGAACATTACTACAAGCCCAGGACAGGAATGCTAGCATGACAGCAAGGCAGTTAAATGAAATGGCGAGCAAGTGGGATGTCAGGGTCATTCCTACATATGGAGTAGAAGTGTCCTACAAAGTGGTCACTCAGGCTGTATTTGGTCAATCTAAAGGAGACCACACTGTGAGCAGCAACAACAGTAGACTAGATTGAAAGAAGTACGAGTGAAATGCTGCTTCGCCTGGAAGGTGTTTGTGGCCTTGGACAGTGAGGAGGGTGGAGGTGAATGGGCAAGTATTAAACCTTCTGCAATTGCATAGAAAGATGTTATGGGGGAGTGAGGAAGTGTTAGGAGAAATGGAGGAGTGCTGCTGACAATGCAGACTCCTTTAGATTGGAATCTACCGTATTGTCTACTCACAATGCTATTTCCTTTACATTGGCAGTCTCCTGTATTCGCTGCTAACAATCTGTTGAATGTTGAGTATATATTGCATAAATAAGGGAAGATAGAATATTACAGTGACCACACATTAATGTATAAATTTGTTGAGTGTGTTCAACCAGTACTCATTATCAATGGCATATATAACTGCATTGAGAGTGTCCAGAGCACACCCACAAAGCTACCTTGACAGAAAGGGATCCCACCCCCTCAATATCCAGACAATGTCCAATAACAAGTAAAATATCCATAATGCCAATGGCCAATATACAGGAAGTTGCAATGATGCCTTCATCTTTGTCATTTGACCTTACCTGACCTCTTTAGAGAATAGAATCAGATCCACAGATGTCTCCTGTGAGACAAAGTATAGTTCCTGTTCTCATGCCTAATGACCTTAGAATGCCCCAAAATACCAGCTGGTGATCAAGAAAACTAACAGGGTGTTGAAAAGCATCTTTTCAGTGAATGGATGAGTCAGATGGAGGCCTGCAGTATGCTGCAATTTCAATGCTCAGAATGCCCCTTTAAAATTTTGCTGTTCAGGAAGGGTTTGTTTCCTTATAGCTTCTCTTTCAATACACAGTATTGTTGGTTCTATCCTCGATTTCCCCTCCCTGGTCCTTTTAGTCTTTTTCATTAATCTTTCCTTTTGCTGATCTCTTTCATCAAATTTACTCACTATCTTTGCCATTAGGTTCTGACTCTATCTCACTTTGCTCTTGGCTGTCCCTTAATTTTCCTAGTCTCTGCCAATACAATATCATTGAAACTGAGCTTTCCAAGTTGGTAACGCAAACAAGCATTTGACAGTCAGCCATTTGATAACAGTGCATGAATATCACAGCTGCTATTTAAATTCTCGCCCGAGTTGCCTTCAGTAGCTTCTGGCCCAATATTAACCACTGAATTTCGTTATCTAATTTGTGATCCAATTGAGTCATAGGGCAGTGTCTTATGCTCCAGCTTGGAGTAGGAAGGAAGCCAGGAGTTTAAATTCTGCGGAAGGTCCAAAATCAAGATCCCAATGATTATGTGAACTTTTAGAATTAAGTTCTAGGAAGGTAAAAAATGTTCAAGCTTCTCAACATTTGGGAGGCCATTTTGCATGCATTTGCAGGTCATGCTTACTCATTAAAATTCATTACCCCTTCTCAAATAAGTTCCAGAAGCAAAATGTGCGTTCGGATACGCAATGCATATCAGTGGCCTGAAGTAGTTATCTTCCAGGACTTCGGAGTGAATAGTCACTGTTTTCTCATGTTTGGGGAGTGTTCATAAATGCTATGCCATAATTTGTATCAGACAATGGCAGTATAAGCTGCAGGGGGCTCAGAGGATGATCAAGGGAGGAAGATTGGAGAATAATTAATATGGGTCAAGGAGGCTGGACAAGCTGAAAGTCATACTGTGGCAGGGTGGAAGGCAGACTGGAAAAGGTCAGAATGTTTCACTGCAGGCATTCACTGAGTACTTGAGAGAGATTTCTGGCTTTCAGGGATTGAATGCCCTTTAAATATGCAGTCTATGCCTTTAAGTAAGGGGGTAATAGAAGCATTGACTTCCTTTCTGAGGTGTCATAAAACTTGCCATGCTTCTCGCACGTGCATATGTAATGAGCTAACAACCACAAAACCGCACTAGTAAAGCTGACCCATTGCAGAGTGGAAGTGTCACTCATTTCCATGCCTATTGGCAAAGCTCTACTCCATAATGGAAGATTCCACCTGTGTAAACCTCAAATATTCTCAAAAAAACCTAGAATTTCTCTGTATACAGGAGAGATTTATTCTCTAAACTTACACTGTTGGGGAAAATTTTAAGTTATGAATCAACCGGAGGCATCATTTCATGCCAAAATATCCATACATCCAACCCTTTAGTCCACCTTGTTGGACGAAGCCAGTAGATGAATCACCACAGCTGTGGCTATGGTCGAGACTTTAGCAGGAAAGGGCTCTCTCAGTGCATGTTATTGACAGAATGGAGAAAGCAGATCAAAGAATACTATAACATACATAACGGCAACCTTGTCCATGGGTTATTACCAGTGACAAAAGAAATGCTTAATACAGCACTTAGTATTTTCTAGACAGATACAGGAGACTGAATTTTTAGGTGCTGATGGGAATGTGTATGGATGCAGACAGATGTGTTGATTTGTGCAGTCAGCCCTCTCTCATTTACTTGAAAAGGCTGTCTGCTGTTTTTTCCAATGCTGCAAAGCCACCTACTAGCCTCCCAGTTCAGAGAGCTCACACATTGGCCCTAATTGAGTGATGAGCCCATCTGCTGACCATTAATTGGTTAAATTGGGGAAAATCACAGCTAGGTGACTATTCCTCTCCCACGGCACAGTTTTGACCATTTTGACAGGATCCTGAAGCCTGAAATGAAATTAATTCTTGGAAAGCATTTCCCAACACTACGTCAGGGTCTGAAACACAAAATGGCACAGCTGTATTTTAGATCTAATCATAAACTTACTCCTTCAACTATCTTCCAGTTTTCTTTCTTTGTGAAGAAAATAGTTTTCCTGGAAACCCACTGACTCCAGTAAATTCTGTAATGGTGAATGAAGAGATCTTCCTCTTCGGGTGGATCCCAGTGAATTATAAGACTGAAAACACTGTTATGCCTCGCAGTAAAGTTGCCTTTCCACAAGTTTCTTGGTGCACTTGGCGGTGTGGGATCTGTGGAAATGCCACAAATAGAATGCAGTCAGATAAAAGGATTTGGTGAGACTTGTTTATGCATAAAATGTCATAAAACACCTTACCTAGATGTCCTAGGTCATAGGATTTAATTCCCAGTTACTGCTCAAGAATACCAGGCACTTTGGAAAGCGTGTCTTAAGCATAGTGATGTTCATGACATACTCCTCTGTAGAATTTGTTTTAGTTAGTATGAAATGGAAAGTAAATTATTTGAGCTGCTTCTACCATTTCCAGTCTTCTGATATCACGACCTGGATAATATTAATAAACTGATCTTTTGTGAGTTTGTTAACCAGGAGGATCTACCTGAAAGATTATACATCGTGTGGGCAATTCTGAATAAAGATCATGCATACCTGGTGAGATGTTTCTCAACTTTTTTTTGGGGAGGTGGGTATTGAGCAGTTTAGGAGTACAATTCATGACAGATCAGAAAGATCACTTTAGACAGTAGTATAGTGGATAGTGGCCAGTCTATGGAAGGAGTGGACTTGATGGTATTTTCTTCCTGTTTTTCATGCAACTAAACATAATTCATCCACCCCAGGAATAAGGAGTGAGCTAACAGTGAATCAACAGCTTATTATACACCACACCTTTGAAAAAAACCTTTTCTGCTGACTTAGAAAGGATTGTCAAGCCTTTTACTTTCCAACCATGCGATAGTGACAGTGAGACTCAGAAACAAATCTTCAAAAAGAATTTGAACTTTTGTTCTGCAAAATTCAGTGGAAAGAAGATCAGGAACGGTGAAAAACCCACTGGTGATTTGCTAGGAGCTGGTTTTACACCACTTGCACATGGATCAATTTCACTCTGTTACTCTCAATTCTTCATAAAGAAGGTGACCTTAAAGGAAAGATGTGAAAAACTTTTTACTTATGATGCAAAAATAAACGCAAGGAATCACCAGCTATTGTTTTATACATAAACATGAGGTATATGATTCACTTTTGGCTTCCTTTTTTATAAGGCATTAGCCCATGCACACAATTAAGGTAACAATTATGGTAACATTTTATTATTACAGATCAGTTTGAATACACTATTTTATGATACTCTTTTCTTTCCTCGTGAGGCAAGTTTGTGTAATCTGCAATAAATCACTGACGGCAGTGGGTTTACAGGCCAGTACAACCTATAAGTAAAGTAAACATACATATAATGCCTCAACAGTCTTGTAATGAATTGTCTGCATGGTAGAATACAGAATAGAGACATTGCCTTCTTGAAAATTATGGGGATGACTTACGGCTTGGAGCAAACAAACGTTGAAGGAAATCCAATATTGTCAAATTAAGTCAATGGATTTCAGAGTTGGTTCTCTGATGTTTTCTCCCCAGCCTGATTTATCAGCATGTGTTGAAGAATAAAAGGCTGACAGCTCCTTTATCACTTGGACAAGGGCACTGGGTCCTCACAGTGGCCTATTGTCACAAATCAAACTTCAAGGCTTGGCCTTTTGCTCAAACTTGCTGCTGTTTTATCCCACAAGCAGTGTTAGTTTGAATAGTGTCTCAGAAAACCGCGAAATGACTGAAGTTGTAACTTTTTTTGGAAAATAGGCTAACGATCAATGAAATCCTTTCATAATTAACAAGAGGACTTTAATCAATAGAGTTCTGCTAAAATCCGAATGCACCTGTGTGAACCTCATTCAAGTCAGGCTGAACTCTAGCCCTTTAACCTTGGGGTGATGTTTCATGTGATGAAAAAGAAAACATCCTAGCTGGAACAAAGGCTTATTTTATATTAAGAAAAATGATAAAACTTTGATAATATCAAGGCCTACTCTAGTTTGCAGACAAAATGTTCAGTTGTCAGTTGTATCTTTCCTTCACTATATTATCAGTATGGACTTGTCTTTCATCAGGAGCACTTCTGAGATTATACGTGGGAGGCTGCAGGATGAAACCTCTGACCTGCTGTTTTCTGATTCATGTAAAAGTATGGTCAGCTGGTCAGCTGACTACTGTTTCTGCCTCTGAAATTCTTCAGCATCTTTCTGGTCTTCTGACCATACTCTCACCTCCCACCCAATTCGTGGGGCAGCTAGTGAAAAGAATGCAACATGCAAACATGTAGCGAGTGAGCACATTGAAACTTTAATATTGTGTCTGCCACCTATATCTGGGTGAATTCTGAGGTAAGGTTCAATGGAGATGTTTAATCAAGGGTGAGGGCACGGGGTGGGGACTCTGTCTTGCCCCATTTAAATCTTGAGCGGGAATACTTTTGGTCAGGCTTCTAGTTTGGACATCAAATTGAGACCCTTCAGTGGGGAGGGGGCATGTTATGCAAGGAGACTGACAAGCAAAGTCAGGTTTGCCTGCAGCTAGTGGGGTTGGAGACCAGATCCCTACATCTCAGGCACTTCCCAACTGAGATGGATGGGTCCTACTTAAACCAGCTCCTCTAATCTTTCCTCTGACTCCCTTTCCCCTGTAACTCTATCTCATCCACACATACCTTTCCCTAGGGAACCTACAATGATCTATGATGAAAGTCAGATCAATGACTGGCAGAAGCCACCAGGGGTGCTGTTTGTAGCAGAGAGATGCTTGCCTTTGACTGGCTGGCAGTTCTGAAGATCCACTGCAGAAATTCATCAAGGTTCCTTAGATTGCACCTTCCAAACCCACAATTACTACCATCTAGAAGGACAAAGGCAGCAGAATACGGTGAGATAACCCCAGCTACAAGTTCCCCATATCATTCAAACTTGGAATGAAATTAAAATTTCTTCAGTGTTGCTTGGTCAAAATCCTGGAATTCCTTCCCTAATGACATTTGGGTCTACCTACACCAAATGGACTGCAACTATTCAAGAAGGCAGCTCACCACCACCTCCTCATGGGCAATTAGGAATGGGCAACAAATGCCGGCCTAGCCATGTATGCTCACATATCGTGAGTGAATTTACAAACATCTGTTCAATTAGCAAAGATCACTTTTGACCTCATGATTATGGGAAGGTCATTGATGAAATTCATGAAGATGTTTGGACCTAGAGATAGTTCCTGCAGTGATGTCCTGGAGCTGAGATATAAACAATTTGTGTGAGGTTTTATGTGACATGGTTAGTAAGTTTGTGGATGACACCAAAATTGGTGGCATAGTGGATAGTGAAGGAGGTTATCTAACATTACAAAGAGATCTTGATCAATTGGGTGAATGGGTTGAAGAGTGGCAGACAGAATTTAATTTGGATCAATGTGAGGTATTGCATTTTGGTAAAACAACAAGGGCAGGACTAATACAATTAATGGTAGGGCCCTGGGTAATGTTGCAGAACAGAGACCTGGGGTTCAGGTACATAATTCTTTGAAATTTGCATCACATGTAGACAGGGTGGTTAAGAAGGCGTTTAGCATGCTTCTCTTCATTGTTCAGACCTATGAGTATCGGAGTTGGGACGTCATGTTGAAGTTGGTGAGACCTCTTCTGGAGTACTGTGGCCAGTTCTGGTTGCCCTACTATAGGAAGGATATTAGTAAACTGGAGAGGGTTCAGAAAAGATTTACCAAGATGTTATTGGGAATGGAGGGTTTGAGTTATAAAGATTGGCTGGGATTTTTTCACTGGAGTGGAGCAAGTTGAGGGGTGACCTTATAGAGATTTATAAAATCTCCCTAGTTTGGGGCATTTCCCGAGTTTGGGACAGTTCAAAACTAGGTGGCATTTTCTTGAGGTAAGAAGACAAACATTTAAAAAGGATACAAGGAGCAAATTTTGTTTTACAGAGAATGGTTTGAGTTTGGAATGAACTGTCAGAGGAAGTAATGGTTGCAGGTACAGTTCCAACAGTTTTTTTAAAAGGCATTTGGATAAGTTCATGAATAGGAAAGGTTTGGAGGGATATGGCCTAAATGCAGGCAACTGGGATGAGTTTAGTTTGGGAACATGGTTGGTGTGGAATAGTTGGACCAAAAAGTCTGTTTCCAAGCAGTATGACTCTATAACTTTATAATTAAAGCAATCTTCTTTGGTGCTCAGTATGATTCCAGTCATTAAAAGTTTATCACCTGATTCCCAATTAATCCAGTTTTGCTAGGGTTTCTTGATGTCACAATCTGTCAAATGCAAGGGCAATCATTCTCAACTCTGGAGTCCAGCTCTTTTGTCCGTGTTTGGAGCAAGGTTGTAATGAAGTCAGTATATGAGTGGCACTGACAGAAACCTTCCGAGCATCAGTCCATTTCTGAAGAAGTGTCCAGACCTGAAACGTCAGTCTTCCTGCTCCTCTGATGCTGCTTGGTCTGCTGTGTTCATCCAGCTCTACACCTTGTTATCTCAGATTCTCCAGCATCGGCAGTTCCTGCTATCTCTGAGTATCAGTCTACATGTTATTCATTTGCCACATGCTGCTTGATGGCACTGTCAATGATTTATTCCATCACTTTACTGATGATCGAGTGTAGACTGAAGGGATGTACGTAGGACATACCTGGTCAATTTTCCACATTGAAAACAGATGCTAGTGTTGGAGCTGAACTGGAAAAGGCTGGTTAACTGTGTGATTAATTCTGTACTGCAAATCTTCAGGACTATGGTCACAATATTGTCAGAGACCACAGCTTTTCCAGTATCTTGTGCTATTTCTAGTTAAGTGAATTGGTAGAAGACTGACATCTATAATGTTGGGGACTTAAGAAGGAGGCTGAAATGGATCATCCACTTGGTACTTCGGGCTGAAGATGGATCTAAATACTTCAGCTTTGCCTTCTGCAATGGTGATTGAGAATAAGGATACTAATGGAGTCTTCTCCACCTGTTAATTGCAGGCCTAAAGGACACAGCTACTAGCCTGGGTCTGCAGCAGGTGATGAGGGAACCAACAAGAAAGAAAAAAAAAAGTACTTGATCTTCTCCTCAACAAACTACCGGTCACAGATGTGTCTGTCCATGAGAGTATAGGCAGGAGTGACAACTGCGCATTGTGGAGACAAAGTCCCATCTTCACATTGAGGATATTCTCCATCATGTTGTGTGGCACTACCACTTATCTAAATGGGTGGCAAGGGCACAAGGCATAGTTTAGGTGAGATATGCAAATATCTATTATCAGGAATGGTTCAGCTGCACTACTGATCAAGCTGTGTATCTCACTTAAACTATGCACTGTGCCTTTGCCACCGTCAGAGCTTTCTTCAACTAGTGTTCAACATGAAGAAGTTCATTATTCATCAAATTGAGTGGGTGTTATGCAGTAATCAGCAGTAAGTTTCCTTGCCCGTTTGGCCAAACCATGTTTGAGACTTCACAGGATCCAAAGTCAGCATTAAAGACTCTCAGACCAATTCCCTCCAAACTGTATACCCAGTAATGCCACCTCACTTCTGATGGGTCTGTTCTGCTGGTGGAACAGGACTCACCCAGGGATGCTGTTGGAAATGGCAGTGTCTGGGGCATATTCATACTCATAGAATCATGCATTACAGACTGTGTCAGGCTATTGCTTGACTAGTCTGTAAGACAGCTCGCTGAATTTTAGAACAAGCCCACAGATGTTAGTAAGGAGGACTCTGCAGGATTCACAGGGATGAGTTTGCTGTTGTCATTTCTGATGCCTAAGTTGATGTTATATGGTCCATTCAGTTTAATTCATTTTGTTAAGCTGCGTAGCAATTTCGATAAAAATTGAATGGCTTGCTACGCTGTTGCAGAGGAGTCAACTGAATTGCTGTGGGCCTGGAGTCACATGTTGGCCGAACATGGTTATATAATCACTATTGGACCAATTTTTAATTCCAGAAATATTCGGTGAATTCAAGTTCTATCATTTGATATGGTGGGATTGGAATCCAGGTCCCAGAACATTAGCCTGGGGCTCTGGAGTCCTGTGATATTACTGTAATACCATACCATTCCCATATAGTAATGTCGGACACATATGACTCAGGAACGTGGAAGAGGTTTTTGTGGCTCTGGAATTGTAAAGTTCAAATTCCTGTTGGCCAGCACAACTCTCATGTTCGTTTGGAGATGGTGCCTTTGCCAATTTGGCTGCACCATGTAGAGTGATCCTGTGCAAGGTTCTCCACTATGTCAGGGACAATGCTAAAAAATTCAGGACATTGCTGAAAAGCTCTTTCTGATTTCTATCTACATGTTTCCTTTGAATTAATTTGCTGTGGAACAACTTTCTCGTCAAGGGCTCACCAGGCATTTTGGCAAATTTTTGCCCAATGGGCCATTTTTCTGAAAAAACAACAATGGGAAGACTAAATATTTTATTTTAGTACCTCCTCTGCCAAGTTGGTGGGGCCAGTTTCTATTCAAAAATTAAATTTACTATTGTGACCCCTGAATATATTTTGAGGATTTTATAGTCTCATTTAACTGGGGCAAGTGGCTGGGGAGTGGAATGGAAATTACCACAAAGGCATTGTAAACAATTCTTTTGTTTTCCCAATGATCATTAGGAGAAAGTTGTGACTATCTGTGACTTTTTGTCAGGCCATGCTACATAAGGTTAAGGGTAGTTCAAGTAGGTAGCAATAACACAGAAAATGAACATTAGTCAGAGAAGCCAAATGGATTGAATAGGGGTTTTGAAAGACAGCCATTTACCAAGTCAGTTAATTTGAGATCAGGAGGGGAAGTTGAATAGTTAAGAGCTTGATGAGGAAAAGATAGAAATAGGAGGAAATCATAGCTCTCTAAAAGCGGCAACACAAGTAGATATGGTGGCAAAGAAGGCATAAGGCATATTGGCCTTCATCTGTTGGGTCATTGAGTATAAAAGTTGGCAAGTCATGTTGAATAAAAATTTATTTAGGCCACATTTGGAGTATTGTGTGCATGTTTGGTTGCTATACTGTAGGAAGGATGTGGAGGCCTTGGAGAGGTTGCAAAAGAGGTTTATTAGGATGTTGCCTGGGTTGGAGATTATTAGCTATAAGGAGATTTGTTGGATTATTTTCACTAGAGTGTTGGAGGCTGAGGGGCGACCTGATTGAAGATTTTCAGCGTGGATATTCAAAGTCTTTACTCCAGGGTGGAAATGTCAAATACTAGGGGGCATAGGTTTAAAGTGAAGGTGGGGGGGAAAGTGAAGTTTAAAGGAGACGTGCGAGGCAAGTTTTTTTTATGCAGAATCTGGGAGGTGCCTGGAACATGCTGCCAAGAGAGGCTGTAGAAGCAGATATGATAGCAATGTTTAAGAGGCATTTAGAGAGACACATGACCAGGCAGCAAATAGCGGGATGCAGACCATGAGCAGGCAAATGTGATTAGTTTAGAATGGCATCATAGTCGCACAGACATTGTGGGTCAAAGGGCCTGTTCCTGTGCTGTATTGTTCTATTTTCTATGAGGTCTGGAGTAGTAGGAGGAACAAGGAAGTAGAAGCTGCAGTAGAAACAGGTGTCATACTCTTCTTTCCTCTCAGGATTTCTAAGGAAGCCCTTTAATTCTTACAATGCTACAGTACAGTACATTTAGCCGATTCTGACTGTTATGTATTGGAAAATAAATTCCAATTAGTCCCACTCTACCTACACAATAGTCCTGAAAAATTTTCATATAGTGATCCACTTTCCTATTTAAGACTACAATTAAATTACTCCACCCTTTCAGCAATCCATTGAAGATCATGAGAAGAAGACCAAAATGACTCTCCACCCAAACAGTGTTTCAAAATGTAAAAGACACTTGGGAACATCTGCCAGTAAAATTCAATAAATGCATTGAGCAAAACTTTATTTTGTGTTGACAGAGCAAACAAAAAATCTAGTCTGTCACATTTCTATACGTGCCATCACTTTTTCTATTCCACCATTGACAAAAATTGATCACACTCGGCTGAATGCTTTCTGTCGACTTGAATATGACAGTTGTTATGGGGGAGGGGGTTGATATTTTATAGTTCTCTATTACAAGGAAGCATGCTTATTATCACAATTCAGCAGCAATCACTCACCTCTGGATGAGTGGAAGTGTCTACTGGGGGTAGTGAAACCTCGCGTTCCATGGATGTTGACTGCTGCTACTCTGAACTGGTACCATATGTTTGGTCTCATATTTTTCAGATCAACATGCTCCTCTATTGTCTAGGGTATTGGAAAAGGGGAAATGAAGAGCAATTATTCACTATGTACTTCACTGCGATATATTTGTGAACTCTCCAGGGATCAAAATGATGCATGATGAGATTTAGTGAGCTTTTTAAAATTTCAGAATTAAATATCAACTGGTCTTAGAATATACTATCTAAATTTAACAAATTTTTACATTAGAAACAATTAGCATAAATAGTTGGAGTGCAACTAACTTTGTAAAAAAAAAAGCTTTCTCACAGTGATGAGCTGATTCCAAAAGTAATTATTGCCAATGAAAGGCGTTTATTCCACCATTAAATACAGCGTAATATTTCAATAAAATCAGTATGTCACTAACAATGGACAATACAACAGAGTGAATCACCTCAGCTCTGCTCTGCTATAATTTGTAAAATTTGGAACATTGTGATCCATGAATTTCCGGTCTGACATTTCCAGTCAGATAGCATTGTAATTGAAGGGCTGAGCAGTCTGGGAAGGTGGTGGAACATAAAGTAATAGGATGTCAATTGATAAAAAGGAAATATAGATAATTTAAAACATAACTTTACAGCAATTTACAGACATCCCCAGGATTGGTACATGTTACAATAAAGATTTTACAGCAATTGCAAATGAATGTAGTGACAGTTATGGACAGTTATGTACTTTAGAAATTAAAGTGATTGGTGCTTCGACTAGACCAAGGTCCCATGTGCGCAGGGGACACTAGGAATAGACCAGGGAGCGAAGGAGGTTTGAGGGAGAAGTAAATGGCTTGCACTGTACAGCAGAAGTACAGGTCCTTGTCAGGATTGTGTTGGGTACTGAGGCACATCTCCTCAGTGTGTAGGACTGGGCATCTGTGCAATTATGGAAGAGAGGTTTGTGAGTGGTAGACTTCTAGGAAAGAATCTGTATCACCTGTCATTTCTCCACCTCCAGGGATGGCCCAGAGATTGGAATGCTTTTTGTGCAGGTGAAATCATGTGGGGTGACTTGGCCTTTCCTATGAACTGATGACGATGAGGCCTGGGACATCTTAACAACTACCCTGAATAACAAGTGGAAGAGCTGTCTCTCTACCGAAACTGGCAAGATTGATGTTAGTAATTTGGGAAGGAGCACATGACTTCAGGGATCCAAAGGTGGGGGAGGAGAGGGGAAAGAGGGGAAGGGGAGGTGAAATTAGGCACTGGCACTGGGAAGGAAAGACAACACAGGGGCTGGAAACGTCTAAGGATGTCATGCAGGACTCAGAGTGTGACGTGGGCACCCTCACACCTCCTCGTTCACAAAAAAAGTCACACAAAACTTAAATAAAACTAATTGTCAGTCTGTGGGCATATATGTAGGAATGTATCAAAAACAAATGGTCATTTTTTTCTTGGAATCTATCAAGATAAGTGGACTTAGTAAAATGGCACTGCTTGTATGCCAATCCAGAGGGCTTGGGATAAAGTCTTTTATCCAGGGATTAACACCCTGTAATTGAGTTGACTGGTACCAGTGTTTGAAGTTTAGGAGAGTGAACCTGCATCTTTCGTTGCAGAGTCTGTACTCTCTCATACTTATCATTAGAGCTTAAACAGATTTTGAAGTAAAAGAGAAGTGGCTGCTGCATTTAAGAAGAAATAATTACTCTTTTCTTTCTATGCAGCTCAAAATGCAGTTAACTAATCACATTGCTGCAATGTTGGGTCAGTGACTGGAACTATTGCTGATTTAATAAACAAACTAGATGGCACATTCTCCATTTCTTATACAGGTGAGGAGATAATTTAAGGAAGGGAAGCTAAAGCACCTTTGCAATAATCTTTAGAATATTTTCTTGAAACTATTTGGTTCTTAGCCGTTTCAACACGAAGAATACACAGCATGTCCAGTTTGAGAGAATCTGTCTCCTATGAAAGCTTACATAAGCAACGGTCTCCCACTTGCTAGCATCATCTTCACTTGGATACATTCCAGAGTTCCATCTTCTCTGCAATATATAAAATACTGGTTCCATAGAAATATTAAACTTGGACATCCATGCAACTGCTAGGTTTCCATTTTTGTCTTCTGTGAAGCTCAATTCCTTCCTGGGCTTTAATGGAACACCTTAAGGGCAAAGGAAAGTCTTAAAAACACAACTGTATTCACAGCATTAAAGTGTAGTTTGCCTACAGAGGCATATATACATGTGGAAGACCTATTATGCCTGTACAGAGGTCCAGCACAGTCATGTTGTTGAACAAGTATCAATTCTTCCATCAGCACTATACCCTCAAATACGTGCTCCTCTGCTGAGGAAGGGAAGCAAGACATATGGGATATGTGCCTAATATATTCACTCAGAGTTGTACAAAAAGAATACCACCAGATGGTTACAAACACATAATGTACAATATAGGAGATAGATCATTCATACACATGCTATACAGAAAATGCCTTATTACTATCAAAGAGTGATTTCTCCTGAATGGAGATGTTATCCAGTCACAGCCTTTTACGACTCCTGTAGTAATGAGGGATCCATAAAGCAAAGTGTGTAATATTATCTTGACAGAATCTTTATACATGTTTTTAATTAACGGGAGTGATATATGTGGCTATTTTATGAGGTGTGAAGCTACTTTCCAGAAGAGTCCTATATAGGTTTTTACAGAAAGAAAGAGGTATCAGAGTCCATTCCATCATATGGTTTCTCTCAAATGAGCTGCTCGATTGAACAGAGTTATGGACAAATCTGCAGATGTGCAGCATCATATTGCTATGGGAGAATTCTATTTTAAAATCCGTGAGATAGGACTTTCCTGGGTCTCTTTTGGAAAATCAGTTGTGTTGGAGCACAAGTGGCTGTCCTGATGTTAAATCAATGGGAGGAAAGTTGGGTGTGTTCCTTTAGAGATCTCTCAACTGCACAATTTTATAATACAGTATTTGCTGAGCTGAGGCAATCTACTGTTGCCTCAGGCAACATTGTGAGGCAATCACGGGCCCAAGAAAAATCTCCCTATTTATGTGAATATTCTGATATAAAATAAATTAGGGCTATTTCAGTTATGATTGCTGCTTAGAAAATATGTAGTAGGTTACAATAGATACTCTAAAGATATCATCACCAACTGCAAATTTTAAAAAGTGAAATTGGGAAAGTATTATTTAGAAGAAACTTTATTAAAAGAAGTTTATCTTCTGCATATTTTGTTTGAATAAGAAGTATTCAGGACACTGGGAAACTGGTTAGAGGGATTCTGGATATCGGTACAATTAGACTGATCACTGAAGATAGCTATTAATCAAAGGTACCAGAGAAATTTTGGAAAGCCAATTCCACGTGTTTTAAATCATGTTAAGCTTTTCTAGCATGGTCCTGAAATTGTCACTACCAAAAGCAGATTGGAAAGAAAGAAGTTAACTCCTTGCTTATTTTTGACAAGAGGATTGGTAGCAACTGCATTCCCCTGCATAAGTCAAAGACTTATAAAATGCCTTAAAATGGACCATATTTCCCAGAAATAAGATTTCTGTTCCCTGATCAGACATTAATAAAAATATAGACTCATCTGGGGAGGAGTTCGCCATGTGAAACTTCTCAACTGAAGCGGTCTAATCAAAGCTAGAAATTAACGCAGCCAATATTCAAATGAATTGACATTGAAACCATGCCACATTTCATAACATTAGTTGCTATATTCCAAGTTATAAAGGTGCTGAAGCCTCCTTGACAAGGGCTGTGAGAAAAGGTGAGTGTGAAAGGAAAGTGGGAGAGGATGTGGGACAGCAGGTGAATGAGAGGTAAGGTGACAGGTCATGGGGTTGAGGTACTAGATGAGTGAAGTGGTACAGGTGCTAGGTGGACAAGGTTCCACGTGGAAGGTTCACTGGAGTCGAAATGTTGACTCTGTTTTTCTCTCTATCACACACCACCAGGTTATAGTAAAACAGGTTTATTTGAAAACACAAGCTTTCGGAGTCTTACTTCTTCATGTGTTAATGAAAGAGGTAGTGTCAGACACAGAATTTATAAGTAAAAGATCAAAGGGTCACACCATTTATGAGGATGTGCTAAACAAACCGAAGATGCTGTTAAATCTTTAATCAGTTTGAAGGTTTTAATTGATTACTATGTATATGTAAGTCCCTGAATTCCTTTGAAGTCACTGTCCTGAGAAAACTAAAGGTTTTATCAGTGTAAAGATGAGGTGACATTTTAGGTTAGACAATGCATGTTAGGTTTGAGGCCTTATTTAGAATCTGTTTGTGTTTTGTTTTGGTTTGGAGTCAGACTGGTTTTATTTCCAAAGTAGGAATTTATAAAACGCCGCATTAACTGACTGCCTATAAATTCTGTTATTTTTGAACAAAATAGAATGTATCCACAAATACAAATTCACCCCACAGATTCAGGAGTGTGTGTGTGTGAGAGTGTGTTTGTGAGAGACAGTGTATGTATGAGAGAGGATCTGTGTGTGTGTGAGAGTGTATAGTGCAGTGGGTCACCTGTATTGAGACATGAACCCAAGATCCTGGTTGAGGCCATCCTCAAGAGTACTGGGCTTGGCTATCAGCCTCTCCTCGGTGACTCTGCGTTGTTGTGTATCCCAAAATCTGCCTGGAGGACGTTTAGCCGAAGATCCGAGGCCGAATGCCCTTGACTGCTGAAGTGTTCCCCCACTGGGAGGGAACATTCCTGTCTGGTGATTATTGCATGGTGTCCATTCATCCATTGTCGTAGTGTCTGCATGGTTTCGCCAATGTACCATGCCTCGGGGCATTCTTGTCTGCAGCGTCTGAGATAGACAACTTTGGCTGAGTCACAAGGCATATTGGCAAAACCATGCAAATGCTACGACAATGGATGAATGGATACTGCACAACAATTGCCAGGCGGGAATGTTCCCACACCGTGGGGAAACATTTCAGCGGTCAACGACAGTCGGCCTCGGATCTTCGGCTAAGCATCCTCCAAGGCATCTCTCTCTCTCACTCTCACACACACACACACACACACACACACACACAGACACTCCCTTCCTCCCTCAGACTCACACATACTTGCACACACACTGTCTCCTTCAGACAGACACACACACACAAACACACACACACACACACACTCCCCCACACATGCACGCATGTGAATCTATGGGGTGAATTTGTATTTGTGGATACATTCTATTTTGTTCAAAAACAAAACAGTTTATAGACAGTCAGTCAATGTGGTGTTTTATAAATTCCTACTTTGGAAATAAAACCAGTCCGACTCCAAACCAAAACAAAACACAAACAGATTCTAAACAAGGCCACATGCCTAACATGCATTGTCTGACCTAAAACGTCACCTCTTCCTTACACTGATAAAACCTTTGGTTTTCTCAGGACAGTGACTTCAAAGGAATTTGTGGATTTACACATACATATTAATCAATTAAAACCTTCGAACTGATTAAAGATTTAACAGCATCTTCGGTTTGTTTAGTACATCCCCCATAAGTAGTGTGACCCTTTGATCTTTTATTTATAAATTCTATGTCTGATACTACCTTCCTCACAAACGCTTGAAGAAGGAGTAAGATTCCCAAAGCTTGTGTTTTCAAATAAACCTGTTGGACAATAACCTGGTGTTGTGTGATTTCTGACCTTGTCCACCCGAGTCCAACATCAGCACCTCCACATGATGGGCAGTGAGGTCAGGCTGGACAGTTGGGTCTGTGAGGAGTCGAGTTGCATAATGGGGGTAGGGGAATGCTGTTGAGTGTCCCTGAGTACTTGGGGAAGTGTGTATCAGCAGGGAGATCTGTATCGTAGCTGCTCAAAAGTCAGCAGGTTTTCATTGCTCTGCTTTCTCCTTAGAGAGACAACCAGTGGTGGTTTAATCTGGGGGTGATTACACCTCAGGCGAAGGGAGAAGTCAAGACTGAGAATCCTTCATGGTGACCTCAGCCGCTGCAGGAATTGAACACACATTGTTGGCGAGACAACAAGGTGCAGAGCTGGATGAACACAGTAGGCTAGGCAATTCCTGCTCCTATGATGCTGCTTGGCCTGCTGTGTTCATCCAGCTCTAGCCTCCCTGCTCCTATGATGCTGCTTGGCCTGCTGTGTTCATCCAGCTCTGCACTTTGTTGTCTCGGATTCTCCAGCATCTGCAGTTCCCACTATCTCTGACACATTGTTGGCATCACTTTGCGTCGCAAACGAGCCATCCAACCTACTCAGCTAACTGAACCCTTTTGAATGTAAAGTAACTACAAAAAAATCTTGACTTAAACAGTTGCACATCATGCACACTCTAAGTTGTATAGAGCCCTAGAAAATACAAAATAAAAATCAACTGAATTTTGAGTGACTTTGTCTTATGTCAGTACGGCCTTACCCTTGAACATATTTGATGGTGCTTGGCAGGTCTGGCCGCAGCCATTAGAACAACACTTTCTAGAGCTTGGACATTCTGTGTCTGAACTGCAGCTCTGGACACAGGCTGCTGCAAAGCCGGAGGCTTTCTGTGGTGCTGGACAATCACCTTGCTTCAGCATCCGAATGGATTTCAGAAACTCACAACTTGTCAAACATTCATGGTGTTTCTAGAATGCAAAAGTAAGATAGGATTCTCAAAATTAAAACCAAGCATTTTCAAACCACTGTACAAACTGTACTAAAAGAATCATCCTAATGTACTGAGAGTTGGGGTATCATAAGATTTGACACTGGAGTTTAAGTCTGCCTCAAACAAATTAAAAACGCATATTGACGGCAGGTACAAAATAAATTCCGGAAATATATCACAAAGAAACTGAACAGGTCATTGTTAAGCATTGAGATAACAAGGTATAGAGCTGGATGAACACAGCATGCCAAGCAGTATCAGAGGAGCAGGAAAGCTGACGTTTCGGGTCTAGACCGTTCTTCAGAAATTGGGGATTCTGAAATAAATAGGGAGGGACAGGGAGGCGGATAGAAGATGGATAAAGGAGAAGATACGTCGAAAGGAGACAGACAGGTCAGAGAGGCGGGGGTGGAGCCAGTAAAGGTGAGTGTAGGTGGGTAGTTGGGGAGGGATAGGTCAGTCCAGGGAGGACGGACAGGTCACGGGGGCAGGATGAGGCTGGTAGGTAGGAGATGGGGGTAGGGCTTGAGGTGGGAGGAAGAACAAGTTAGGGAGGTGGGGACAAGCTGGGCTGGTTTTGGGATGCGTTCTGGGGAGGGGAGATTTTGAAGCTTGTGAAGTCCACATTGATACCATTGGGCTGCAGGGTTCCCAAGTGAAATATGAGGTGCTGTTCCTGCAAACTTCAGGTGGCATCGTTGTGGCACTGCAGGAGGCCCAGGGTGGACATGTCATCTGAGGAGTGGGAGGGAGATTTGAAATGGTTCGCGACTGGGAGGTGCAGTTGTTTGTTGCGAACCGAGCGTAGGTGTTGTGCAAAGCAGTCCCCAAGCCTCCGCTTGGTTTCCCCGATGTATAGCAGGCCACAACGGGAACAGCGGATACAGTATACCACATTAGCAGATGTGCAGGTGAGCATCTGTTTGATGTGGAAGGTCTTCTTGGGGCCTGGGATGGGGGTGAGGGAGGAGGTGTAGGGGCAGGTGTAGCATTTCCTGCGGTTGCAGGGAAAAGTGCCGGGGATGGTGGGGCTGGTGGGGAGCATGGAGCGGATGAGGGAGTCAGGAAGAGAGTGGTCCCTCCGGAAAGCAGATAAGGGTGGGGAGGGAAAAGTGTCTTTGGTGGTGGGGTCAGATTGCAGATGGCGGAAGTGTCAGAGGATGATGCGTTGGATCCGGAGGTTGGTGGGGTGGTATGTGAGGACGAGGGGCATCCTGTTTTGGTTGTTATTGCGGGGAGGGGGTGTGAGGGATGAGTTGCGGCAAATGCAGAAGACGCGGTCGAGAGCATTTTCGACCACTGTGGGAAGGAGGTTGCAGTCCTTGAAAAATGAGGACATCTGGGATGTCCGGTAGTGGAATGCCTCATCCCGGGAGCAGATGTGGCAGAGGCAAAGGAATTGGGAATAGGGGATGGCATTTTTGCAGGAAGGTGGGTGGGAGGAGGTGTATTCTAGGTAGCAGTGGGAGTCGGTGGGCTTGAAATGGATATTGGTTTCCAGGTGGTTGCCAGAGATGGAAACAGAGAGGCCCAGGAAGGGGAGACAGGTATCAGAGATGGTCCAGGTGAATTTAAGGTTGGGGTGGAAGGTGTTAGTGAAGTAGATGAACTGTTCGAGCTCCTCGTGGGAGCACGAGGTGGCGCTGAAACAGTCATCGATGTAACGGAGGAAGAGGTGGGGGATACGGCCAGTGTAGCTTCGGAAGAGGGCTTGTTCCACGTATCCGACAAAGAGGCAGGCATAGCTTGGGCCCATGCAGGTACCCATGGCCACCCCCTTTATCTGTAGGAAGTGGGATGTGGCCACCTCTACATCGGGGAAACCAAACGGAGGCTCGGGGACCGCTTTGTGGAACACCTACGCTCGGTTCGCAACAAACAACTGCACCTCCCAGTTGCGAACCATTTCAACTCCCCCTCCCACTCCTTAGACGACATGTCCATTCTGGGCCTCCTGCAGTGCCACAACGATGCCACCTGAAGGTTGCAGGAACAGCACCTCATATTCCGCTTGGGAACCCTGCAGCCCAATGGTATCAATGTGGACTTCACAAGCTTCAAAATCTCCTGTCCCCCGACTGCATCCCAAGACCAGCCCAGCTTGTCCCCGCCTCCCTAACCTGCCCTTCCTCCCACCTATCCCCTCCTCCCACCTCAAGCCCCACCCCCATCTCCTACCTACCACCCTCATCCCGGCCCCATGTCCTGTCCATCCTCCCTGGACTGACCTATCCCCTCCCTAACTCCTCACCTACACTCACCTTTACTGGCTCCATCCCCGCCTCTTTGACCTGTCAGTCTCCTCTCCACCTACCTTCTCCTTTATCCATCTTCTATCCACCTCCCCCTCTCTCCCTATTTATTTCAGAACCCCCTTCCCGAAGAACGGTCTAGACCCAAAACGTCAGCTTTCCTGCTCCTCTGATACTGCTTGGCCTGCTGTGTTCATCCAGCTCTACACCTTGTTATCTTAGATTCTCCAGCATCTGCAGTTCCGACTGTCTCTGAAACATTGTTAAGCATTGTTCATTTTTTCCTGTAGCATGGGTTTTTGTTACTGCTGCTGGTGATCCCGTAAATACTGCTGGCTGACATATCCATGAGATCTCCAGGAACGATGGTGTGATATATAGGCTGAGGAACTAAGCTTGGTAGTGCCTCAGGTATGGTGAGGTCTGCAAATCACATGCAGAGTTTGTGGCTGCTTCCAATGTAGCTTTGAAGGGCACTGGTACAGCTATGTTTGCATGTTGGAAGCACCATGAGCATTATTGAAATGGATGGCCATCCAACTTGCAGATGAAGTGCTTTTGATTTGCAATGATCAAATCTATGCTAAGATTGTGATTATGGAAATCCTCTGTATTGATGGGCTTCTTTGAATCCCTAGCCTAAAAGGAGCCTAAAAGGTTTGCAACATTCTAGCTCTCTGGGCCCAAATTTTAAATTTATGAGCCATGCCCATTCTGCATACCTCATTCAACCATTTAAGCTTCCCCTCTACTCCTTCCACACCTTCAGCATTAACACATGACTGGGGGCCTGCAAACGGACGCATGACTTAATTTTGACTGAAAACAAAAAATGCTGGGAATCAAAGTGGATCAGGAAGCCTCTTAGGAGAGACAGCAACTTAACGTTTCGAGTCTAGATGACTCTTCAACAGAACTCTGATGAAGAGTCATCTAGACTCCAAGAGTTCTGTGGATGCTGTCAGACCCACTGTGATTTTTTGTTCTTGTACAGATTCTAGCATCAGCAGTAACTTACTCCTTTACTTTAGATGGAACTTGTCTTTGAAAGCAAAAAAATGCTGGAATTAACATGGAAGCAGAAAACCTGCACGTATCATTCAGTAATGAAGAACTAGTTGGCTGACTGTTTTTACGTAGCTTCATGTCCTGATTGGCCTCCTTTCTATGCTTAACAGTCCTTCTGTGTCTCTGCATCGCTATCATTATCAACCCCTCTTTTGGAGTACCATTTGATTACTGGCACTCATTCTCCACTAACATGATTTCTGCTGGTCCCTTTCTCTTGCTATCCTCCTCTTCCATTCTATGTATTCCTTTGTCAGTGTTTCTTCTTCTCTCCCTATACTCTTTCCTCTGTTTCTTGCCCTCTTGCTCTTCCTATTGTACATCTCACCATCTCCACTCGTTCCTCACTCTGCTGGATCCAATTTTGTCCTAACCCTCTTACCATGCATGACTTATATATTTCATTTAGTCTACCTGCTTTCAACTCCAATGAAATCATGAAGTGCATATTGAAAACAGAACAAACTGCATGTTTGCTAGTTTTAAACTATGACTTATCTTCTTGAAACTTACTTAAGTTAACACAAGGAGCTTGTCACTCTGGTAAAGGCCAGAAATCTTTGCAGAATTTCAGAACCTACTGTGATGGAACTTGAAATGAAAGCTAAATAAATTTGTAATGAACAGTCAAGAAACAGGATTCAAAGTAGCCCATACAAATTCTCTATTAGATGTTCTCCTACCTCACACTGTCGCCGGCACTGGTTTTCATCAGTGTCCCATAACTCTTTGCAAGGCCGTAGACACTGCAAAAAATAGGAAAATAAAATTAGCCAACAGCCCATTAGTATCACTGCAACTAATTCCTGTAATCTCTTACTACCTTTTTTCTTTCTTTATATTTAACTCCTGTTAGTGTTTCAGTGCAACATTAGGTTATGATGTTGGTGGAACATCATAGATGACATTACAGTCTCTTATTCACCTCCAACGTAATTATAGCTATAGATGTAGGATGGCTCAGTGATTAGCACTGCTGCCTCACAGCACCTGGGACCTGGGTTCAGTCCCAGCCTTGGGCCACTATCTGTGTTAAGTTTGCACATTCTCCGTGTGTCTGTGTTGGTTTCCTACCATAGTCACAAAGATGTGCAGATTAAGTGGACTGGTCATGCTAAATTGCCTATAGTGTCCAGGGACATGTAGGGTAGGTAGGTTAGCCTTGGGAAATGCAGGGTTATAGGTTGGGGAGGTGTCAATGTGGACTTGATGGGCCAAATGATCATAGAATCCTTACCTTAATATCTAGTAATATTGATAAATTATCCACTTATGATCTTGGTAACTTCTTGCTGACTGGTATTATTTGCTTGTGAGTCATTAGTACCTGATTGGAAGTTTCCAGTTATAAACATATATGATATAATACTTGTTTGTGGAATACAAAAATTATTTGTGGAACGCAAGATCATAATCTACTTTCCATGTGTGACTTTTAGTTTTAAACAGTGTACACTATAGGCATATGATTACTTCAACTGAATGGACACGTTAAATCATATTCACTCTGTGCAGACATCTCCCGAGAGGAATTTGGCACCAGGGAGGAGCAGGAAACAGTTACATCACAACAAGCATTCCAGACCCCACAAGCATCAGTATAGAACACACCCACTTTGGGGAATTAGACAGTGTCGAAAAATAGAAACTAAAAAGAAACTGAAGTGCAGTTATTTCATGACGGTTTCTTCTGATCTGGCCCTGGAAGTTTTCAAGTGACTGCCAATCTGTAAACTTAGTGCACCAACTGCAATTAACCCCCAATTGACCTCCAGATGCCTATAGAGGCATCAAATGAAATTACTTTACCTTAAAGGGGCAGGTCAAGTTATGTATGTCTGCAGTACAATAACAAACATGACTTCATTGCATAACACCTCCATGAATAACATCAGGGGACATTTCATAGTATGTAAAAGTATTGCATCTGGATCATATTCAGCACACTTCACACGTTTAAAATTGTAAAAAAAAGATGAAGACATTTCCTGCGATGTTGCTGCATTCTTCTCAAATGCAGAACTGGAGATTTACAAACCACTACCAATTTATAGAAACTTTCATAACCATTAATTGTAATGTTACTCTGAAGATTTAACTTCTGTCCCAGTGAGATCAGAATTACAAGAAACAGTAGATTTGCACACTAAAACAGAGCTGTGGTGAGCACTGAGGCATCTTCAAATAGCTCATGAATCTGGGAGTTTCAGTGCTCTGTGTCATTATTGAGGCATAAATACTGACCCCAATATGGACTGTTTGCTGATGAATAGGATTGTATAATTCACAAGCAATAAATGTTTTGAAGATTTATGACAGTCTCGTTTATATGTGGAATAATGCATTTAGTAACATAGAACATCAGTAATATTGAGTAGTTTAGAACACGTGGCATGAGTACTGTAGGTATTTTTCATTGCTCAACTTTGGTTAGGTCATAAAACCAAATCTATTCTTTTTTTTAGTATAGTGGCTGTATACTCAGAGGCCGGGCTGTTACCGACTTTTAGTTAATCATGCAAGGATTACAAATTTGCATCTGTAATTGTAAAAAATGTTGCTGAAATATTGCAGGATTTCAATGGCTTTGGGAAATTAACTTTAAATATAAAGGAAAAATAGATAAAATCGTAAGAAAAAAAACAATCAACCTGTTTATGAGGATCTTTAATAAAAACTGAAAGAACTGTGGAGGTTGTAAATCGGAACGAAAACAAAGTTGCTGGATAAGCTTAGCAGGTCTGGCAGCAACTGTGAAGAAAAAAAGAGTTAACATTTTGGGTCCAGTGACCCTTCCTCAGAACCCCCGCTCTGAGGAAGGGTTACCGGACCTGAAACGTTAACTCTGTTTTTTCCTTCACAGATGCTGCCAGACCTGCTGAGCTTTTCCAGCAACTTTGTTTATGAGGATCTTTAGTTAGACAGTCTTGTACCTGGACCCAGAATGGATACTGGCAGAAACCATCTAGGGCTTCTCTATGAAAAGAATTAGCCTTAGCATTTATTCCAAAAGGTGCAATAATTTCAGTGCAGTCACATATCCAAATTTGCTGATGACTCAATATCGGGCAGCGTTGTAGACAGTGTTGACAACAGCATAAAGTTGCCACAGGATATTGATAGATTAGGTGAGTGGGCACAGCTGTGGCAGATTGATTTTAATAAAAGCAAATATGAGGTTATCTATTTCAGACTGGAAAAGGATAGAACAGAGTATTTTTTAGAAGGCCCAAAGTTAAGTACGGTGGATGCCCAAAGAGATTTGGGAGTTGAGGTGCATAGCTCTTTAAAAATGTCACAAACAGGTGCAGAAAAAAGACAAGGCAGGGCGAATAAAATGCTAGCGTTCATATCTGAAGGGCTGGAGTACATAGATGCAGATGTTATGCTGCAGTTGTATAAAACCCTAGTTAAACCCCATTGTGAGCAGAACCGGGCTCCACACCTTAGAAAACTGAGATAACAAGGTGTAGACCTGGATGAACACAGCAGGCCAAGCAGCATCAGAGGAGCAGAAAAGCTGACATTTTGGGTCTGGACCCTTCTCCACACCTTAGAAAACACGTTTAGGCCTTGAGTTCAACACAGATTTATAAGGATAATACCTGGACTTCAGGGGTTAAGTTAGGAGGAGACAGTAGATGAATTATTCTCAGGAATTTAGAATGGTAATGGGAGATCTAATCGAGGTCTTCAGGATATTAACAGGGAAAGACTGGGTCTGTCAAGATAAACTATTTCCACTCGTTGGAGATTCTAGAACCAGGGCATAATCTAAGAATTAGGGCCAGGCCATTCAGGAGAGATGATAGGAAGCACTTCTATGTGCAAAGAATAGTAGACATTTGGAACTCTCTTCTTCAAATGGTGGTTGATGTTAATTCAATTGTTAAAATTTAAATCTGAGATAGACAAATTTCTATAAATCAAGGGTATTAACGGATATGGGCCCAAGGCAAACATATGGAATTAGGTCACAGTTCAGCCATGATCTTATTGAATGGCTGAGCAAGCTCAGGGAGTTGATGGCCTACTCCTGTTCCTATGTTCCTATGAGTTTGGATAGGTTACATCTTTTGGTGAATATCATTGTACCAAGTGGCTAGAACATACTAATAGAGTATGTTGTTGAAGTCCAGAGTCACAGGTCTCAAAATGAGAGGGTGCACAGTATGAAAGCAAAGTAAAATTAAATTAGAAGCAGTAACTTCCTCTGAATAGCATCAGAGGATGCTCAATAGTATATAATTGACAGTAATTAATTTCATGCCCTTGATGTTAGATAATCAAAGATTCATCTGTAGCAGAACCTGGCAATTCAGACAGAATTGAGATGGATGGGGAATCTGCTGCCTTATGTTTATGCTTTTACTTCATACCAGTTGTTATGTTATGATGCTGTGCTCTTTATTGTTCTAAAATAATAGGCTATCCACTTTCTACAGTCTTGATGTAGAACTGAATTGATCTAAGATCGATGGAACAGAACTCTCATCCATCAACTATAACTGTCATGGATGAAGTGAACTCCAACCCAATTTAGATAAATAACCAGCCACTGCACTTTCAAATAGTGCAATGTATTTGAAGCATTTGAAGATGTTTCTGAGAGAGAAAGTGCAGTATAAATGCAAGTCTTTTCTCTTTTGGTTTGAATGGTGTTATGAAATAGAGTAATAGAAAAAGAGAGAAAGATAAAAGAACTCATGCAGTCTTTTTCTTTTAGTTTCTTCACCTCCTTTTGCATTCGATTGCAACAGGTATCCTCACTCAAACCAGTAACTTTGCACAACGGAGTGAAGCATGCTCAAACTGAGCAAAACTAGCTGACCACAAACTTATCTCAAAAACTTAAATATCCATTTCCATCACCAGTGGCATTGTGTGGATGCAGCCTTACCATCTCTAAGATGCACTACAGTAACTCATTACAGCTTTTTTGACAGTATCTCTCAAACCCTGACCTCAACCATCTTAAAGGGGTAAGGACAGTAGGTTTGAAGATACTGTACACTGTTATCTTCAAGGTCCTTGTCAGTAACACATCTTCCCAATTTGAACATATATAATTTTTATTTCATACAGTGGATGCTTTTTACAAACATCCAGAATACTGCACCTAATAGCAATGTGTTGCAACCTACATCATACAGACTACAGCATTCAACAAAAAAGATCTATACGGTATACTCTCTAAAACCAACAAATTGGTCCTGAGGTGTGATGCTCAAAACTGAACACAGGCCACCAAAGGTGGTCCAACCAAGAGCCTGAAGAGTTGAAGCATAACTTCCTTTTATGATATGATAATGGAATAGTGTAGGTTAGATGGGCTTCAGATTGGTTTCACAGGTCGGCGCAAAATCGAGGGCCGAAGGGTCTCTACTGCGCTGTAATGTTCTATGTTCTATGTTCCTCCTCATTGGATATCACACCCATTGTGATAAATAGCAACATTCCATTAGTAGTTTGATTATACTTTATACATATCTCTAGTTTTTAGTGACTGCATGTGGGCACTCAGTACCTTCACTCCTCCATAGTTGATAGGCTCTCCCTATCAAGAAAATATTAAGATTGATCTTTCTTAGATCTAAAGTGAATGACCACTTCCTCCCAAACCCTCCCCCCATTGAGCTCCATCTGTAACAGTTTGGCCCCTTCCTTAATCAGTCTATATCACTTTGTAACTTTCTATCTACAAAACCTAATACGCCTCGTAATTGAGTCCTCTACAAATGTGCAT